AGTAAAACTTTATAACCGAATGTATATCTTGCTATACAAGTTAAGCAGTATATTTATCCCAAATTCAAAGAATAACATTATCTCTATACTGCGAACAAAACGATTATCTAGGTAGTGGTGTATGAAGTGCCTTAAACATTTTTTTACACTGTCTACATTATTACGATATCAATAAATGGCTGGGTATGCTACATAGTGAACTATACTCAAGTTTAGGCCTTACGAAAGTTCATTGATTTTCTAATTATAATATGTTAAAAATTCCACAGCTATCCTCGCAAGAAATTACATGATTTTAGGTGATTACAAAAAAATAGTAGATAACTTAAAAACTAAAAGAGATAGGTATAGGGAACCTGATACCATTCGAAAGGAAATAAATTTGTGTATCAGAATATAGAAAAACATACAGGGTGTTCCATTTAAAAAAATCGACTTATGAAGGTTTGAAGTTAACTAAACTCGGCATTAAATTTCTAGCACCCTGTATGCAATTAAGCCTCTTTAAAAGTATGTATGGGAAGTTAAGGGGTCTAGCTATCCCCCCCTATAAATATTGTTGCTTTACCTTTCTTACTATAAAATACACCTGGTTTGAAGCTCGTCACTGTTTTTTTTGAAAAAAATTAAATATATCGAAAACGGTTAATTTTAGGAATAGGGAAACTTCATAAAAGTCCACCTAAAATAACACGTAGAATCCAATTGCAATAATATATAGGGTGTTCCATTTAAAATAAGCAAGTTGATGGCGACTTCCGGTATAACAGGAAGTGGTATGTGGACGCCATTAGTTGAGAAGGGCATGCCCGAAAACCCGGTATCCCAAATTTTCAAAATTCAAATCGAAGTAGTCTCTGAAATTATTCTAATGGGCCATCACCGTGAGACACCCTGTATAATTTTAAATTCCTTTTAAACATACGTACTGATGATTAAAAGTGTAGGATAGCATTCCTAGTTTCTTAGACATTCCTTTCGCTTAATAAACAATTTAATTTCATATGTAAAATAAGCAGGATTTTTAGTTAAAGAATATTTAACAATTTGGGATACGTGGATATTAGTCCAATTAAATAAGCCTTTAAATCGAAATTTTGGTCAACTTGCCTAAATTTTTGATATGAATTAGTTTGAGGTACATTATAACAATAAGTGACATTAATCTTTTGTTCAACCCCCGGCCAAGGATGAAAAAAGATAAAACAAAGGAGTTTTTCAAGATAACTCAAAAGGGGCAAGGGCTAGAAAAAAAGTTTCTTATAAAAATTGTAAAGCATACAATTCTACATAAAAATTGCAATTTGACTTTTTCTTGTACTATTAAAATTAACAGAGTTAGGGAGGCTAGAAGTTAAGGGAAAATTTCAAAAATTTAAAAAAATCATAACAAGTAGAAAAACGAATGAATTTTGTATTTTTTTTTTCAATCTACTCTAAAAAACGTAAAAAGACACGTATATTTTTATCGGCGGAAAAACATATTTATGGGGTGAAATACACCCTCAAAGTTCGCCCCCCCAAAACAGTTTTTTCAAAATTTCTGGGGTTCTAATCAATATTTTGAAATGAAACAAAATGGAAATTACTTATGATAAAAAATAAATATTTCACAAGTGATTCCGTGTTTGGAGGTTGCTACCCTTATTTTTTATTTCAGAAAAACTATATTTTTTATTCATAAAAAAATCATATTTACTCAAAAAGAATTAAAAATATGATTTACGAGTATGTAAACAAATTGACAAAATTAAATTGACCTGTTTCGAAGTTTTCGTTAAAATCTCTGTTAGAGGGGTGAACAACAAACTTGAAATTGTTATAACTTTATTATTAAAAATTAAAAAATATATCTATTTCTCTGAAAAGAAAGGTTACATTTTTTAGAGTAGATCGAAAAAAAAATTACAAAATTCATTCATTTTTCAGCTTATGATTTTTTAAATTTCTGAAATCTTCCCTTAACTTCTAGCCTCTCTAACTCTATTAAATTTAATAGTATAAGAAAAAGTCAAGATGATTTTTATATAGAATTGTATGCTTTACAACTTTTATACGAAACTTTTTTCTAGCCTTTACCAGTTTTGAGTTATCTTGAAAAACCCCTTACTGTCTGTCACTTATTGTTATAACATTCCTCAAACTAATTCATATCAAAAATTCAGGCAAGTTGACCAAAATTTCAATTTAAAGGCTTATTTAATTGGACTATATCAAATATTGTTTACAATTTCGTAGGAATTATCTGCATCGGCTTCTCTATTGCGGAGGTGTTAAGCTTAATGCTAAAGTTAAATTATATAATTATCTTGAACCTTATACAAGGTGTGAATAATATAATAACGTATTCTACATCACAAACTAATAAGAAATGGAAAGCGTAATTCGTATTTCAGCACCCATCGAAATCGACAATCAGTAAATGAAGTTCCATCCTTTTGAACTTTGAACAAAACTGAAGGTAATTTTCATCACTTCCCGAGTACTTCGGATGAAATAAACGTGTCGTTATCGCTTTTGTTCTACGTTTACAGCGAGCGAAAAACTACTCCCCAGCACTTTCCCTTAAGCGCAACAATAGACATTTTCCAAGAACTTTATTCCAAATTCGCGTAATTTTCTTCGGAAGGAGTAACCATCAAATTCAACTCCGCACTGAACCCTGCACGTCGATCGATTCGTTAGCCTTGTCGTCAAAACAGCAGAAAGTCAATCTAAATTGGAGTATAAACGAGAGCTTTGCTAATAGCAGCAATACATCAGCGGTCGGGATAGTCGCAATTATAAATATAAAAGGGTCCGACCCTTCTGGGCTAGCTCGAATTAAAGCACGTAGTTATTACCATACAAAAGCATTCCGTGCATTACACGTGTCGATTCGGACAAAAACACTATTTCTATGTGTGGGAATCTTGGTGTGACGTGACGTCATAGGGGACATCTGTGAAAACTAGAATAGAATAGATGAATGGGACCTTTCACTGTGCTTAAGTGCTCGTATTAAGCAAGGACAGAGGTCTAGGTGAGTGTTTTCTATTTTATTAAAGTGACCCTGCATTATATTGTCCTCGATCTAGGACTATAGGTCACAGAGGGGTAGAATAATTTGAATGTCAGCACAATGAAGGCGGTGTCTTATTATACTCACGTTATAACGCGATATGAATATACAGAGTGGTTTCGCAAGTGAGATATTAATTTCAAAGTGTTAAGCCGGCAATGAATCAGTGCCAACTAGCTGTTATTGTGTTCTAATGGGTTACTTTTGTTACAAGTTTACGAGGAATGTCGTCAAACTCCTGCAGAAGCAGTTTGGATCTATGCATTATACATTCCAGACGCTGTACTCTAGTCGTATTAGAGTTTGAACGTGAACAAATTATTAGCAGACATTTTATAGCACTTTATGACGGGGAAGGCTATGTAATTAGTCATTTTATGTTAGACAATTAAATTACCTACAATTTAAGGCATCTAAAGTTATATTTCACCACTTTGTTAACTGCAAAATGAAGGTTGAACGCGAAAATATCAGTTTTCGAAAATTGCGCATTACTATTGCAAACAACGATGGATGTTGAAATTTATGGAAAAGACGATAAATCCTAAAATCAACGCGTGAAAAAGCAGCTCGGGAATTCGCTCTTTTTGCATTAAATAGAACTTACTTTTACGGTAATTTAAAAATAGAGCGAAATCGCCTACGCCTTTTTGTTCTCAAGAATTGCTTTTTTTTCAAAACGTTAAATGTTAATTAACTATTGGACATATCTGCCCGGCATTTTAGAGATAATTAAAGAAAGGGTTAACTTTTATTTTCAGAAAGTTTTACATTGATAGTTCATGTAATAAACGCGCTAGCAGCAGTAAAAATTAACGATAATGAATATCCTGCACGCTGGAAAAAAAGCACCGAGCCCGCGCACGCGCATGAATGTCGCTCCCGATCGCGCGCGGTAGTTTTGACTTGAACGTTTCAAGTCTTCTTCTTCTTCAACATTTATCTCCTTTTTTAAATTACCTACCATAAAAATAAGCTCTATTTAAAATAAAAAGAGAGAATTCCCGAGCGGCTTTTGCCTAAAACTTGTTTATAACATCCTACTTTGTTAGTTGTAACATTATAAAAAAGTTGTCCTGAGAACAAAGAGGCGTAGGTCTTTTTAAAAAAAATTACCATAAGAATAAGCTCTATTTAAAGCAAAAAGAGCGAATTCCCGAGCGACTTTTGCCTAGCCCTGGGACAATTTGTTTTTTAATGCTGTTTTGCGTATTCCACTTTGTTAGTTGTAAAGGGCAACTTAATTTCAACTTTTCGAAAATTTTCTTTTTCGGTACGTTTATTTGGATCAATTAGAACCTATATCTACGATATTAACTTCTAAAATTATCGTTTAGCAATTAAACAATCAGTTGCAAACAACAAACGAAATTAACAAATAATTGGAGCAACAAGTTCACGGTCAATTGAATCGACGTTTGGCACACATATCTTTTCCATAAATTTGGTGTCACTTCTTTCGAGTTACTACTATTTCTTCAAGTTTTCTTGTTTTGTAACTAAGATTTGATTGCTTTGTTCAAGTAATTTGTTATATAAAAATCTGCAAGAAAACCGTAGAGGTGGTGGACGAGTTCGACCAACCACGTTGCAAGATAGTGAAGACATTTTCAATCCTACATAACCACAATTCAGTTTGAAAAACTCTACATGAAAAACAACTATTCTATTCTTCGTCTACAAGTACTGCAACCAGAAAACTGTACAGCCAAGATGTGTATTGGTAAAGATTCAAATTTAATGGTCGAAAATATGAAAGAATAACATTATGCCTCATACAACTTTGTTTTTTATGGTCCTGTGTTATTTAGAATTTTTGTTGCATGGCATCAAGAGCTTTTGTGGTGTAACATAAATTGTGATGCTGGTAAATTAGAAAGAGTATTGAGTGTACATTTCTGTTTGTATGATCTAAATTTACGAATAAAAAAAGAAGCGGTATGTTTGTTACCAGTTTAATATCTTCGTTACACAACAGCTGTTGCGGATATATTACTTGGCGAAGATGGTGTTACTGAATCTACCACTACAAATGTGTTACGTTGTTCAAAACTGCCATCAATTGCCGTAGTTGTGATAAAATATAATGGTATTGTTTTTGTTATATCTATAGTTGTAACAGTGCAATCTGATGTATGTTTCGATTCTATTATCCCAGTATGTTCAGTTACGGGTGATGCTGCTATTGTTGGTACAACTGTACTGATAAGGGTCGGAGTACTATTGGCACATATTTGAGTTGACGTTATTGGATCTGGAGGTGTTGTCTTGATAATAGGTTGTATTATAGTAAGTCTTCTTGTATCAGTAAATTTAGTTTTGGGGTTTTGTGTAATTGTTACTGTTGGAGTTGTGACATAAACTTGGAAAGTTGTTGATTCAATGTAATCTTCTGCAGCGATGCATTCTGTTACACATGTTGGTGTTGGTTTTATAGATAACTCATTTGATTCTGTATATGAATTTTTAAATGATTCCACGCCACATTTCTTTATTGAGTGAATTAAAGAAATAAAATTTTCATTTGCACAATATCCTTGTGATGTTTCTTGAAAGTTGTATTCTAAATTTTCACCTACATCAGTTGGATAATTATCTGAAATGAAAGAGAAGTTAAGATATTTCTCTTATGTCATATGTTATATCTATGTTGTGTTTTTATTTAGAAAGTAAACATTAATGTTTGCAATTTATTTAAAAAATCCCAACTTGATCAATAGACAGCAACCAAATTTAATAATTTAATGAAAAATATTTCTTATATGCAATATTTACTAATTTTTATCTCAATCCAGTTTACCTTAAATTAACCTATTATTTACCTTCGGAGAAAATGAGAATAATATTCAATGATACACACATATAGAGTGTTACTGCCCATTTTTTTCTAAATATCATTTCACCACACTTCAAATTAAACTGTATTATTTCTTTGTAGTTACATATTTAAAGTTAATATGTGTACAAATCGTTTTTTTAAGTACTATTCATTTTCAATGTACGTGTATAATAGTAAAATATTCGACTGATAACGATTTGTCATCGGTTTCGTTTCAAATTCTTATCTCATATCTGCTTGTACCGCGAGATTATCGGTGCCTATACCAAGAAAAATGTGCAAGTAATGAAATGGGAAGATAAGTTTTCAGAAGGCTGATGGGTTGGACTGTGAGGTAAAATATGCCGAAAATAATGGGTGAAGGGGGACGCTCTTCACTTACCGTACCAATAAAATCATTGCTGTCAATGCAAAGAAAAATATTCTTTGTGACTAGAAAGTAAGTAGATTGAGATACTATACAATTTGATATATGTAGTATTAGGTATACGATGCTATTGCAGCCAAAGGTATAATGAAATTATTGAAATGTTAATTTTAAAATGAAAAATGATATTAAAAATATCATAATTTATCAAACTGCATAAGATTGTTGTATGCGATGTGATGCAAAGAGTAAATATTTCATTGTTTATATGGTGCTGTATTTTTTACTTCTTATATTGAAAATTTATCATACTTTATGAATAAAAGAATATTTCAAAAAACATACTTCATTTGGAACTATCCCATTTTATTTTATTATTCCAAATTGAATTACACAAATTAACACAAGTTGAATATAATCCATTTCTAATGACTATTTTGTGTATTGAAAAGTTTATTTAAATTTCCCGCTACCTATCCTCATTCCTACTCTATTGCGCTGTTGCCGTTACTCTTACACTTTTATTACTTGGCGAACAATGTTAGTTATATAAAATTAAAATAATCTAACAGCAATGAAATAAATATCATTAGGTATGTGAAGAAAACAGTTTTAATGTTCGTAATAAAAATATTTACCCATACCATCTAAACTGCCTTCTCATTAAAAATATATCACTTATTGGGGAGCAGATTGGCTGTAAAATGTGTAGAAGCCGGCGCCAAAACGCTTAGTCCTGATTAAAATTCATTTCATCCTTTATATAAAAACGGCACTTTGTACTGATGGGGATACCCCTCATAAAATCTATAAATCTTTTCATTTTCGTTTATTTTATGGTTATGCCGGTAATTCTGGCTGGTAAACATGAGAATAGTAATACCAGATGTAAGACAAATACCAACGAAATTTAATTGGTATTTCTTTTAATCAGTGTCTTGTAAAACTCATAAATAAAATTCACGTAATGAAAAATTGAATATTGAGATGTGACAATTACACAGGGCAACAATTTTCACACCCAAAAACCAGGCCTCACTTGCCCGAAGGTTTTTGGTGGGTAGAATCCGAATCTGGCGTCAGAATTGCTCCTATACGTCACGTTTCCGAGATATCCTAAATTGCAAAAAACACGTTTCTTTTGCTATATTTGCGCTTATATCACAGCGAAACATTTTTTTTTCTAAAAACGAATCATGCCCTCCAAAAACTACCACTCTTACCCTTCAATACGCTTTTTTCAGATCTGAAAAATCTTTTTTATTCGCGGAGATATCATTGAATGAAGTTAGGTACATTAGCATTTTTATAACAGTGGTACTAATATTGAAAAAAGTTCTTCAGAATGCGGAAGTAATATATTTACATGTTTTTTGGATCGCCCAATCCGAATCTGACCTCCAAATTATTCTATCTCTTTAGGATTCTGAGATTTCTTAACCTAAAATCTAACCTGCTAACACTACACTCATAACCTGAGGGCACAATAATCGCTACCACAATAACCACTACCTGCCCACGACAGGTTAACCTAAGTACATAATAACCTGCAAACGCTAAACCCCAGACAGATTAACCCAAGTACACAATAACCTGCGAGTGTTACACCCCAGACAGGTAACCCCCAGACATGTTAACCCAATTGCACAATAACCTGCAAGCGCTAAACCCCAGACAGATTAACCCAAGTACACAATAACCTGCGAGTGTTACATCCCAGACANAGGCTTAGTTAATTGGACTATTAATTGGTATTTCTTTTAATTAGTGTCTTGTAAAACTCATAAATAAAATTCACGTAATGAAAAATTGAATATTGAGATGTGACAATTACACAGGGCAACAATTTTTACACCCAAAAACCAGACCTCACTTGCCCGAAGGTTTTGGGTGGGTAGAATCCGAATCTGGCGTCAGAATTGCTCCTATACGTCACGTTTCCGAGATATCCTAACCTAAAATTGCAAAAAACACGTTTCTTTTGCTATATTTGCGCTTATATCACAGCGAAACATTTTTTTTTCTCTAAAAACGAATTATGCCCTCCAAAAACTACCACTCTTACCCTTCAATACGCTTTTTTCAGATCTGAAAAATCTTTTTTATTCGCGGAGATATCATTGAATGAAGTTAGGTATTTTAGAGTTTTCATAACAGTGATACTAAAATCGAAAAAAGTTCTTCAGAAAGCGGATATTTACTATTTTTTGGGTCGCTCAATCCGAATCTGACCTCCAAATTATTCTATCTCTTTAGGATTCTGAGATTTCTTAATCTAAAATCTAACCTGCTAACACTACACTCATAACCTGAGGGCACAATAATCGCTACCACAATAACCACTACCTGCCCACGACAGGTTAACCTAAGTACATAATAACCTGCAAACGCTAAACCCCAGACAGATTAACCCAAGTACACAATAACCTGCGAGTGTTACACCCCAGACAGGTAACCCCCAGACATGTTAACCCAATTGCACAATAACCTGCAAGCGCTAAACCCCAGACAGATTAACCCAAGTACACAATAACCTGCGAGTGTTACATCCCAGACAGGTTAACCCCCAGACAGGTTGACCCAAGTGCACAATAACCTGCGAGTGCTACAACCCAGACAGGTTGATTTTGCAGTTTTAGGTTATGAAATCACAGGATCCTAAAGTGATAGTATAATTTGGAGGTTAGATTCGGATTGAGCGACCCAAAAAATTTGTAAATAACCGCTTTCTGAAAAACTTTTTTCGATTTTAGTACCACTGTTATGAAAACGCTAAAGTACCTAATTTCATTCAATGATATCTCCGCGAATAAAAAAGGTTTTTCAAATCTGAAAAAGCGTTTTGAAGGGTAAGAGTGGTAGTTTTAGCGGGCATGATTCGTTTTTAGAAAAAAAAAAAAATTTCGCTCAAAACGTGTTTTTCACTTTTAGGTTAAGGATATCTCGGAAACGTGACGTATAGGAGCAATTCTGACGCTGGATTTGGATTCTGCGCACCAAAAACCTTTGAGCAAGTGAGATCTGGTTTTTTGGTGTGACGTTTCGTCAAATTTTGTTGCTCTGTGTTATTTTTTAACAAATTTTTATGGATATAAAAATGAAATGCATGGACTTTACCGGTGTAGTAAGTAATACAGTAACTTTTATACCTAGTACATTGTAAAAAAATTCAGTGAAATTTCACTTCACAAACGATCTGAGTTTCTGTTATTTATCCAGATAGTGCTTTTTGCTATATCATCTGCAAATTGCCACTATAATGTTGTTGTGCTCAAGTATGTCCAATAGGTTTCTGGACCTGTCTGCTGTGTATATTCTCTGACGAATTTAGTTACCTACATGACCGTCAAGCATATGCAACCAAGGCATTGGCAGTATCAACTAAAAATCCCCAAACCTCAGTGAAGTGGTTGAAGGGGTGTAATTAAATAAAACTGATCAAAGTGAACTATTGATATTAACTTAATACATACAATTTAGTATTAGATTATTTTAAAATCATCGGCATCAGTAGTGGTGCGTGAACATTGATTGAATGTGTTCTACTTAGGGTTGTTACATTTGTTGAATTGAATTCCGGGAAATTAAGTGCCAGGAGAGTTTCTAAATGGCGCCGCAGGTGAAATATTTCAAAATTTTCAAGGTCACGCGTTTTCCTGGTACTTCTGAATTTCAAGGAACAATCCATTTATACAAAAATACAGATTTTCACAAGAACGATTTTTGAAATTGATACCTTTTTGAGATATCTATTCACGAATTACCTACTGACGGTATAAATAAATTGGAATAAACTAAATATATTTTATTAAATTATTGAATATTGTGAAACAAAAAAATCATTTGTGAAATTTACCAACTATTCAACGAATTTTAATTTTCCTCGCCGTGTTATGATTTTTTCTTTATCTTTTATATACAAGGTGTAACTGAAATAAGTATTCAAAATTTCTAAGCTTGTAAAACAAGTCAAAATATGACGAAAACTTTAGTACAATTTTTGTCAGTGGCGGCTCCTAAGGGAGCTACGCTCTCCTAAAGGGGTAACCTCGGAAACAGTTTTTAATGCGTAACATCCAAACGGCTCGACATTAAGTCACGAAATTTTGGTGAGATATTAACCTTGACGTGCTTAATAAGTCTCATAAAATACATATCAAAATTTGCTACAGGGGCGTGAGAAAATGTAGGACGCTGGGACAAATTTAATCATATATTTTTTGTAGTTATTTTTTTCTAGTTCCTGACTCGAAAATATTAAAATTTGAAGTATTTAACATAAAAAAGGTCCTCTTGTTAAATTTCACTAGAATGTGCCGTTTTCCAGTAAAATCGATTTCAATCATTCCCAACGTGCTCCAAATTTAACTTTCATTACATAGCAAAATAAATTAATTGCAGTGTGCCATGGGGAAAACAACTAGTCTGACAGTTAACAGAAATGTCAAGTATTTTTAGTTTCAAATTTGTGTCATTTGAGTATTCGCAGTGCCGTTTTATAGTAAATAAAAATATCAAATAATTTAAAAATGCAACAGTATACATTTTCTGAGNTTATATATATGTACATAATATTATATTCCGGGAGTTATATATGCAAATCTGAAATCCGGGACCATACAGCTAATTCCCGGTACAATCACAGAAAATCCCGGTCATACCTATGTCGCTAGATATTCTTTTAATATCTCGTCAAGATCTGCACTAAAATTTACGAGTCCACGAAACATATCAGGGTTGTCCGAATTTTCTGTCTCGTCGTGTCCGCGAAGTGCTAATTCGAAAGCTCCGCAAAATTGTATGCAA